AGACAATATGCATGTCTGGAAAAGACATGTCTTTGTTTCTTTTACCTGACCCACTGTTGAATATTTGTCCCATGATTCACTGTTCTCCAGCCTTCTGCTTACTCAATCTTGCATACTTTCAATTATTAAATTGATTTAACATCCAGTGGAGTTAACTTGTGAAAGTAGGTGACTTTATATAGTTGTTAGGACAACCAATCAATAATTTCATTGCTTTTGGACCAATCTGGTTTCACTTCTTTCTTTAGCTGTGGTGTTCGGGCCAATTTTTGCATACTCAACTATTTGGCATATAACTTAATTAAGAAAGTTTTAAAAGATGGGGAAAATCACCTACTCCTTCACTACAACAAAAAACAACTTTTAGTAGAAATAAATATGTACATTAACAAAGAGTGTTAAAGTTTTTAGCGACGTTAGTTAATCCATTAGATCCAATGTTGTTATAGGTTTTAGGGACATTTATAAAAAGTGTTAATTGTTACTAGAAAAACATATTTAGCGTCAATGTTAAGGTATTGCCGTTAATTAACTACCGTGATGATTTTTGGTGTAGTGCTTTTGTTTATGTGTCATACTTTACTATTTAGTCGTTGAAAAAAGAATGGCATACTTCTTTGTTTAGAAATAATTTAAAATGTTAACCTTACTGTTTTATCCTTAAATAGTTGATGTATGACTTGTTTTAGATATGGAAAGTATTTCTTTCTTAAATTTTGTGACCAGCCGAATACTGTCACATAAATTGTGACGAAGGGAGTAGTTTTTTTGTCTTGTGAAAATGGCTTACTTTTAAGCAATAATGTTACTGCTTCTGCGGGCACAGCCTTGACCAACTGAAACCAGGATTCAAATACCAAAAAATACAAGAAAACAATTGGTGATTTTCTTTCATGTATCTAAGTTTTGGTAGGAAGAGTTACTCGATAACAATGCTAGTGGAAGGTAACAAGGTGAAATAGTCGAGGTGTGTAGAGGTTTGATTCAAATGCTACGGTTAAAATGTAATGACAACCACAAACAACAATATTTTAATATGTAATTCAATTGTTAGAACACATAAGTATGTTAACTTATAGTCCAAATTCGAGTTTCAGCTTGTGCTTGCCCATACCAAATTTAGCTACTGAAGTCTGCTCTTATAATCTTGGATATGTACTACTATTAAGCTAAAATATTTATGTTGACCTTCAAACAAAGCATTCATCTTTCTTAGTTGGTACTTCTTTGTAAAACTTATGGATGTACAAATTTGCAGATAAAAGATATTGCATTAAAGGTCTCTGGTAAAAGCAGCAAGTCTAGCACACCAACAAGTGGTTACAGGAGAGGAGGGGGCAGAGCATATCCTGATTTTGAAACAATTTCAGAGGAAGTTCCATATCAACCTGGAAGTTCAAGTTCTACTCCAGCTTGGGATTTTACCCGTAATCATCGAACACCTCGAGCAGATCCAAGATTTTTCGGAGGATATGGTGGTGGTGGTGGTGGTGATGATGAAAAGAGAGAATCCGTCTACTCTCAGACAGGTGATATGGTGCTGCCAGATGAGGAGGGGCCAAAAGAGTGGATAGCTCAGGTGGAGCCTGGTGTTCAGATTACTTTTGTCTCACTTCCAACTGGTGGAAATGATCTCAAACGAATCCGCTTTAGGTATGTATCAAGAACCTTTCTGTCTTGAAGATTATGGGAAATATTCGATGTTTTGTCTTTTATAATTACACTTTCTTTAGAACTTTCATCTTTCACACCCTTCAAAATATAGAAGCATGACCACCTCCAGTCCCTTCCATTTATCAATGAATTTTTGAATCTTTTGTCAATGTAGAATCAATACACACCAGTTCTTGCATCTTCATGCATCATTTGGTACAATATTCATTAGATATATGTATATAAGTTTATACTTCTATTCATTCTTGTTCTTTATGAAGTTTTGATGTAAAGATTCCTCTACCAACGCATTTAACTCCATAAGTTTGTCCAAAGTTTTAGTGAGTACACATATCTGATATGGATGTGCAAGAGCCAAATTTGGAGATCACACGATTTTGCTAATTCTAGTGAAGTTATTCAATTTGCATGAAATTCCATAGCTTATGTTACATATCGACATTATGTCGAAGCAGACTAAAGATAATGTACCATAGGATGATTTTCTTTTGTTCTGCTAAATTCTTGCATGTTTACTATTATGGTTCTTTTCTCTTATTTATGAATAAGGTAACATCTGAGTACTAGCTTAGCTGATTGAATGTGCACATGGCATGTAACTTTCCAACTGTCTCTGTAAAACTATCCTAAGTGTACTGACATTAGTTTCACATCTTAACTTGAAGTCGGGATATGTTCGATAAATGGCAAGCTCAAAGATGGTGGGGTGAGAATTTTGACAGAATTATGGAGCTCTACAATGTCCAGAAATTCAATCAGCAAGCTATGGACACTCCTGGGCGGTCTGAGCTTGGAGTAAGAATGCTGCTCCATTTATTCGTATTTTATATGTGTAAAACTCATTCTTCAACTTGCTGCTGCTTTGATATTCATCATCATCTTGATGTTGCTTTGATATACATCACCTATTAAACTTCTGAAAATATTAGCTGTACTGGTATTCATGAACTATTTCAAGATTCTGCTGCAGATTCTGGTTTTCTAGTTCAAATGTTCCAATGTCTTCTAGTCGATAAGTTCTATTCATCGTTGCATCAGATTCTGCAACAAGAATTCCCCAAGTTGGGAGCATCTTTTTTCTGTTTCGATTGCCCTTTTCACATTGAATCTTGATTTTCTAGTCTTCGTTCAAAAGTAAATGGCTAGCACTAGTGTCTGTTTATGTATTATGCCTAAATGAATCACATGCCAATTTTTTTTAATAGCTCTGAAAAAGAACCTCAAATGTACCAACGACCAAGCATTAGCTTTCACTAAAATTTTGAGTTTCATGTTGTTGTTTTTGTCATCTGCAGAGAGATTCTAATTATTCAAGGCTTGGATCACCTAGGGAAAGCAAAGAGTGGACTCAGAGAAATTATAGACCATCAAGTAGCAGCCAATATAACTATGGAGGACCCAGTTCTTATGCCTCCGGCTTTCCGAAGGGTGAGATGTCATCTATGGATCCATCAAGGATGACAACTGACTCAAGAGATGACGCTTCAGTATCCATGAGCATTGCTGGTGATGGAGAGTCAGAATGGATAGCAGAAGATGAGCCAGGAGTATATATAACCATCAGACAACTAGCTGATGGCACTAGAGAGCTACGGCGTGTAAGATTCAGGTATTTCATACTTCTAACTCTTTTCTAGCTCCCTAGTTAGTGCGATTACTATAGACTTAGTCTTGTTAGAGATTTGTTTATCCGTAAAATTGTGTAGGACATTTTCTTGATAACCATAGAATAGTGTTGTGACCGTGGAAAAAATGCAGAGGACTAACATGGGTTTATAAGGCTCAACATGAACAATGATTCATGTAACCGACCCTAACTTGTTTGGGTTTAAAGGATGGTTGTTATTGTTGCTGTTTTCAAGCTCCCTTGTTCTAGCATGCTTTATTCGTTCAGTTGGACAAGAGGTGGGGCGTTAAAAAGCTGGTTTAGACACTCAGTTGACACTAGTCCTTTAGTTAACAACTGTAATCAAGAAGTTTGAACGATAATTGAACAAGTTTTTGGAGTTCACATTAGAGGCTTCAAACATTGTTGGAACTTAGAACCTTAAATATCAATATACTCACTTAAAATAGCTTCTTCTAACTTCTTTTTCGTCTATGCAGCCGCGAAAAATTTGGGGAGGTGAACGCGAAGCAGTGGTGGGAACAAAACAGGGATAGAATACAAGATCAATACCTTTAAAGCATGTTTATTTTTTCTCATTACTAAGTTGCTGCCAATATCCTAAGAATATTATCAAGGTATTCCCTGGGAAATGCAACACTTGAGATCCAATGTAGATTCAACTATCGATTCACTTTTGTGATCGAGGAGGTCCAGTTTGGACCACCACGGCTCCTCTCTTCTCGAGAAGTCATACATCCCTTATCAGTGTACGGACATCTACCTCTCGAGCCTTGGTTCTTCTGAGTGATTAACTTAAAACTCACCTTGCACGATATCGTCAAGCACTATTCTTGGCATTGGTAGAGATTACACCAGACTCATATTGAAGTATATAGTTTTTATCTTGCAGTTGGATTGCTTCATTCTATAGAAGAAAGCTCCTAGTCACTTTTTTTGTCATGGCATTTTTTTGATCTCTGATTATACCTGATTTTTTTTTGTTTTTGACAAATTCTTTTTATTTTTTGGGCTTTATTTTGCCTTCAGTTTTTTTGGTTGAATGGCTTGGTGGATCTCCTAGTTTTTACTTGGATGTTTGTAACACAAACTTTCTATTAAAGGAAACGGAATCAAAAACTGATGATGTTTTTAGAACTAGTCCGTTAATTTCTCGAAATATGTATAATCAACTCTATTTGAACTCAATTTCTGTTGATTATAATACCATTATTTTCGATTTAGTATTATCTTAATTTTTCGTGAGGTATTAGTCCATAAAATTTTCAGAATATATGTTACAACAACCGCTGTTTGATATTAAATTTGTAGTCTATTGTTAATGACATATCAAGTGATTATCTCAATTTTTCGTGAGGTATTAGTCCATAAAATTTTCAGAATATATGTTACAACAACCGCTGTTTGATATTAAATTTGTGAGTCCATTGTTAATGACATATCAAGTGATTATTTCAATTAAGTAGTGAACAAACGAACAGAAGTCCTTTTTAAAATATTTATACCCAATATCTTTTCATCATCGCTATATACATATTTACATGGCTGGGAAGACCTTGGCCTTTAATGCAAGGCAGTTTTCAAAATAAGAATCTGTCTGAGCAACCATAACACAACACAGTTAACAGTGCATATGCCGATTATCACATCACGGCACGAATATGGTCTCTACCAAATACAAACACGCATAGAAAAAGACTACTCCAAAAACACCATCACGCCATTTATTTATATAGCAAATACTAGTCGGGCTATTTTAAACACAACCACAACATTTACTTAGCAAGTACTGTGTAACCAAAAGGAAACAGACTGACAACGTACACAACCGTTACTCACCAAACAGGCACACAACAATATTAGTAGAAAAACATAACAAGCCAACACACACTCCATATAAGACATACGACATCTATTTACCCAGCGACTTTCCTTGAAAAGCTTCTTCCAGGCAGAATATCTTGAGATCGTCCCAAGAACAAGTCATGCTGCCCATGTAACCCTCCAGCCTTCATGGGTTGAGGGAATGGCTGCTTTATAGATGCTCTACCAGAGCCAATGCTCATGTTGCCAAGCTTCTCAGCAGCATCAGAGACACGAGTTTTCACCGTGGAACCAACCACTGACACACAAGACAGTACAATTAGGAACCAATACAACAAGTAATATGGAAGTACATAAAGTCACGCTACTAGTTGAAAAGTAAAAAGCTCAAGAGTTCAAACGCACAGGGGATATTCCTTGCAGGAGGACGATATTTTGCTGGTTGTTGTTTAATAGAAGACCCTTTCAGGGGTTTATCATTCCTAGTTGCATCCTGGATGACAACAATTTGGGCAATAATTAGACACTGATATAACACAGCATATACCTATGATACTGATATATATAAACTGATATAATTAAAAGTTCCTCAAGGCCAACTTACCTGATAATTCATTTGCAACTTCCTCTGGACACCTGCTGCAAAGAGATCATATAGAAAAAACAATGTATGCATTAAACAAAGAAAATAAACCATTTGTGCAAAACGAAAATGGAACAGTGGTGTTTTCATGTCTGGAATTGAAACAGAAGATGGTGTTTTTAAAAGATCTTTAGGAAGAGTAATAGCTCCTACAATATTTATATATTACCTGGGCTAAATTGAGACTTGACGGGAGAAAAGCTGCTACTAGCCTTTGGGTTGGTTAAAGTACTGGAAGACCACCTGTTGGTTTTTTGCTCTGAGGAACCCTTCATTCCAGCTGCAACCACCAAAGATTTCATAAGTACTTCATATACATAAAATCTAATTACTTTCAAAGAGAGCTTCAATAACTATAAAAACAAACCAGATGGAGGCGTCTTAGAGACAGCAGTCTTAGAGCGTAATGATGGAGGTACATAAAAGCAACTCTGCAATATCATAAACGATATCAGTTCAATTATATCTAAACAAGAGAGAAAATTGATACTGAGAATACATGAATCAAGAGGAACAAGTTTGCCACCTGAAAGAAACGGTGCTGAAGTACTTCAACCGCAGTTGGCCTCTTGCAAGGATCCCACGAACAAAGTGACTGCAGGAAAAAAGAAAAAATGAAAAACCAAGTAACATGAGCTCCATTCATCTCTTCACTTTCCATATTGCAAAACATCATGAAGAGGAATGTACACAAAAAAGAAGGGTTTTCCTTCATTCAGCAAAGATGTATCAAACACATATTCAGAAGATAGACATAATTGCATCATCAAGTCCTTACAGTGATTAGATTAATTGCATCCTCACTGGCAGATGGGAGTAATACAGACAGATTTACACCAGGCATCTGTCACACCAAGCCATAAAGGAAAATGTCAAACAAATTTAACCAAATACTAAGAGGTATCACCAATAGACATTATAATTTCTACATATGTCGAAATATAAATGGAAAAGGGGAGAAAGAGAACTCCTAGGATTAAAAAATCAAAACTGCATGATGGGGAGAGAACGTGTCAAGGAGAACATATTGGACCTGTGGAAACTGATAATTGATAGCACCAGCAAGTTCGTGCCCATGAGCCCATTCACTCTTTGATGGAGTACCTATAACACTGCATATTTTGTAAATCTCATCTGCTTCACTGCACCGAAAAAGAGAGACAATTATCAGCAAAAAGAAAAACAAATGGAAAGAAAAGGATTACCCTAGACCCCAACAACCCATTATGAAAGTAAACATCTATAGAAGTTAACAGCAACACAGCACTGATACAGGAAAGGAACATTACAACCCAGAACCATCCCACCTCTGCCACAACCAATCTATATAAAAATACCAGTGCATAAATTAAACTAAAATTCACCTGTAGTCCAAAAAATATAGAAGAAAATGCATTAACAAAGGAAAAAGAATCACAAATGAATGCACAGTTGCAGACCTTGAACCAGGGAATAGAGGACGGAGAGTTAATAGCTCAGCCATTATTGCACCCATTGCCCACATATCTGTATATAAGAGAGGCAATCAATATAAACAGAAGGAAAGCAATAGATTGCCCAACAAGGAGAACGACAAAAATATGTACATCTAGATATATATAGTTCAACACTCACCGACAGCAGGACCATATATTGGTGATTGTAGAAGAACTTCAGGGGCACGATACCTGTACTTCCACATGATAGCCATTTAAAAAAAAAGGAAAATAAGAATACACCCCAGTAAATGCCCCAATAAGATAAAAACAGCACAGGGATGCACTGACCAGCGTGTTGAGACATATTCTGTATATGGGGGCTTAGAATTGATCTCCCGAGCAAGACCGAAATCAGCAATTTTTATTGTATCTTTTGAAACCAGCAAGTTCTCTGTACAGCAATCAGAAGTACATGTAAATACTTGTCAGATCACCATCTAGAAATAAAGTCTTGAAAAAAAAAAGTCCAATGAAATGTGCCATAATATGGAAGTCATGCACTTAAAGTCAGATCCAAAATAAGAAGAGAAGAGTTGGAAATTCAATCCTGCAGGGGAAATGCAAAAGGGAGAAAGCATATCCAGCTTTAGTCTTTTCACCATCAAAATAGAAATTATATCCAATATCCAGTTTACTTTTAACTCTTTAATTTCATGAATGACGAGATTCTCATAGAAGCTGAGATCAAACTAAGACAAAGGAAATCAACAATGATCACCTGGCTTAAGGTCACGATGGAAATATCCACGTTGATGCATGTTTGCAAGACCTTGAAATATTTGGAAGCACCAATTTCTCACTTCTGATTCTAAGAAAAGCTTAGGCCTATCTTTCATAAGGTGATATAAGTTGCACTCCTGACAATAATCCACAAAGAAATAGATCAGTAAATGTAACTAATACATAGAAAATGTAGATTGTCAAGAAGCACCATGTACCATGTATTCGAACACAAAGTATAATATGTCATTCTCCCTAATCACTTCCTTGAGCTTAACGATATTTGGATGACTCATTTTCCTCAATGACTGCAAAATAATTGGCCATCAGTTAAGTTCCTGAAGAGGGAAATGCAAGGGAATTCATATTAAGACAGAATATTATTTTACCTTGACTTCTCTCAAGTTGATGCATTCTTCCCATGAATAATACTTCTTCTTCATTTTCTTAATTGCAACCTGCAGTACATGAGCAATAGTTTCAGAAGAACTTCCAAATGCAGCAAATATCTCTTGTTTGCTAAGACGACTAAACCTACCACTTCACCAGACTGTTTATTTAAAGCTCGCCACACACTACCAAATGTACCATTACCAACTTCCTTAATTACCTTGTACCTGTACCATAAATGGAACAATTTGAGCATAAACTGAGAACAAATAATGCTAACGTAAGGAAAACACGAATCCATCACACCTTTCCATCTTTGCTGATGTTTCAGTAAAGCACAAAGGACACCTGTTTATAGGAGATCTAGAGACAATAAAACAACGTGGAGTTGTTCCTCTTCACTAGTCGGCTGGAAAAGAGAATTTACTAAATAGGAATTAGTACCCTGGCTGATTCAGCAAAATCAACCGTTAGTTTTCTGCTATAGCACAGACGAAGGCAAAACCAGTAGGGATAAGATGGATGGACTTCACAGCCTTATTCATCAAATATACCGCATCTATAATACCACCATCATAACAAGGCAGAGAAAGCAAGGAAACATAGATGCTGAAGAGCATTTTGATCTCACTTCACAACTAAACAAGACCCGAAACAAGCCCAATTCAACACGATGAATTATCAACTCAAGATCTAGTTGGAAGTGTTTCTCAAAAGTCAATAGCTCCTTGCTTCAAATATGCACTAATCTGATACCAATACTCCAGTTAACAGAATCCTGATGAAGATTCCTAGAGAAACTATGACAAAAGTGTGTACAAATGCAATCTAACACTCAACGATGCAAGGAAACATCTGCTGAATTTAGCTCACCCTGCATTTGGGCAGAAGAGACGGCAAGAATTAGGGTGACACTATTACAAACATAGATGGCTGTATAAGCAAACAAAAAGCCCATATTAGTACCTCAGAGGTAGGCCTCGAAGGATCCAGGTTGGGTGTTGTACTGGTGATGAACTAGCAACAGTAGACTTGCCGAGGTACTTAACAGTACAGTAACAACTGACATCATAACAAGGAGTGCAGCTTATTTGTGGAATTGAAAACATCCAACACCTAGCTCATACAGAATTCGCATTTGGCCTCCTGCACTGATAATTCAATAGAGGCTGTTCACTAAGTGCAATTGACAAAAGAAACAAGAAGGAAATCTCCAGGGATGAGGAACCGCCAATCAAGGACTTCCTGAAATGAAAAGGCTCGGCACTCGATGCGATCTGAGCAGAGGTACAATTGCTCCATGTCCTAAGTAATATTAATACCCTGGAATTGAACTCTACCGAATCCTGGAAAAGCATAACCAAGGGGAAAAACTTCAGAAAGATGATGGTGGAACATCATTTAACTAACTAAAAAATGCAAAGAACTTGCCAGCACTTAAAAGGGACCTCGTCAAATTTACTTAACAAAATGCACACTAAACAGGAATGCAGGCATACAAACCTGTTATCCCCATGATCATATTTAAGACACTTATAAATGCCGTCAAACATACACAAGGCAGTAACAAATATTTAAAATATGAATACTATATTGTGAATCTCATGAAAATTTCATCAACTTTAGCATCTCAAAGCTGAATAATACCAACGAATACTCACAACATGCATACATAATCAAATCATTGAATTGCATTACAAGTTCATACATGTAAAAGCCTACATTATGGTGCATCTCACTGCAGTGACTATCTAATCAGCAGTCAGATCGACAAAAGAATCACTTCGACAGCTATGCACACTAGATCCATTACAAAATAGTCATAAAAAGCGCACACACATAAAACTGTGTAGTAAGGTGTACCTCACAGCCATTTATTTATCCAGTAAACAGTTACATCACCAAAATTAAATATCTTAAAACACCAAAGCAACTACTTTGAACACCTAGAAGAACAATCAATTTTCTAACTTCTAACAACTTAATTTTTACCCTCAAAAGGCCAAAAATCCACAATTTTCAGCACGACTCACCAAACCAATCAACCGAGCCTAAATCAAAACTAGTTGCACAAATCCTCACCATTTATTCAGCTCTATCTAAGCTCACATCTCATTCCAATACTCAACAATTCGAGTAAAAACAAAAATTCTCTAATCTCTAAATCACCATTACAACCTACAAACTCCATTCAGACGAAACTTAACCAATTACAGCGACAAAAAACAAAGCCTCAATACAAAGGAACCGGAATCACTTAATCAAAATCGATTAAATCAATCTTATTTTACACAATCAGCTCCATAACTGAACAAACCTCACACAAACACATAATAAAACTCAATCACGCAAATCTTCAAATAAATTTCACATAAACACATAACATTTCCAGAAAAAAAAATCATATAACACATCAAATTCAAAACACTCAATAATTCAACAAATTGCAATTAGCAACACCTCGCTCTCATAATTCAACCTCAAACACACAGATCCATAGCAAACAAATACATTCAGATCCAACCACAAACTCTTACAAAAACACCTAAAAAATCACAAAAAATTTATAGAAAAAATTTACCTGTGGGTGAAACGGCATAACCTAGGGAAGCCACGGAAGAGAGAAAAGGAGAATCCAGAGCTTAACTATACCAAACCCTAACAAACTGATTATTTATTTCGAAATTGAATAATTTTTTTCACTCTGTGATATATATATATATATATATATATATATATATTTTTCGCCTGTCTGCAAAATGGAAGTTTTAAGAGGGCATTGAGTATTTATTTTGATGGTGATGATGATGCCAATCTTCGCTTTGTGGGCAAGAAAAGGTTAAAAATTAAAAATACAAAAAAAAGTGGAAATAAAATAAAATAAAACCAAACCTAATTATTATAACCGTGTGTAAACATTTTATTTTATTGGTTATTTACTTTTTAAATTATTATAACCGTGCGTAACATTTTATTTTATTGGTTATTTACCTTTTAAGGAAGACAGAATAGTGTTTGGTTCGGTTCGATTTGATTTAATTGGATTTTATGTATTTTTTATTTAATTTATTGATTTTTAGTTTATTAATGTATATACACCAATAATTAAATTAATAAGTTACTTGTGATTTATTTTTATTTGTCGATTTTTAATTATTAACGATTTTAAATTTTTTATTTAATATATAAAAAAATATTTACAAGAATAAAGATGGAGTATACATTCTACATTGATCAATTTTATTTTAAGATGAAATTGATTAATTTCTTTATAAAGAGGCATACAATAAATAGTGGAAATAATATCAATTAATTGTTTGTGTTTTTTATAATCAAATCTAAAATGAGAAGAGAGAATGTAATACTAGTTTATATCGATAAGAGAGAACGTATTGCAATTCAGAGGCTGAAACGATAGTTTGTGTTATACCTTCGAAAATAATTTTAAAATTTAAAAAATAGAATTGATAAAATATTAAAATCATTGTTATATAATTAAAAGTAAAATAATACTTTTAATATAACTTTATTAAAATATAAATTTATCTATCAACCAAAATTATAAAATCAATAACTCAATAAAATATGTTATAAATATTTTAAAATTGTTAATCTAATAGTTATAAATTAGTTGTGTTTTTGTAAGAAAAATTATCGATCCACAATCCTAATTAATGACATAATGAATTAGTGTTTTTGTGTTATTTACCCTTTTTTAACTTACTTTTTCATACTTCTTGCGTTTATGATTATGTTTGTATTACTTTTTTTTTTATTATGGTTGTCTTACTTTTTTTTTAGATCATTCTATCAAGAATGCTTAATTTTTTATTATTAAATTTATATTTTTATATAATATAATTAAAATTATTGAATTGAGAAATATTTTAATATGTTTTATATCTTTGATTTAAAATCATAGAATTTAAAATTATTTTTTAATTAAATTACATGTCAAATTAAAATCAAATAAATAAATTTGAAAATAAAATATATTTAGTCTTTTTGTATTGATCACTTTTGTTTAATATCTTTTTTCATTTGCTTCTTTCAAATTCAAACAATCGGTTATTATTAATACGAAGGGAAATGCTAAATATACAAAAAAAATGGTTTTTTTAAATATTGTTTTTAAAAAAAATAATAATCTTTTTTTTATTATTAATTAAAATGTATTAAAAATACATATTACTATTAACTAATTAATTGGACCATTTTGACAATTTTTTAGTTAGGTACATCTCAATATCAAAATATATCTTTTATATAATAGCCTTCCATTAATAGTATTAGAGTGACTTCATACTTCATAGTGTTAGTTCTTAAAATTTATTATAGGTTAATTTTACATATTTAAATACTTGATTTTGGCCTTTTTAAGTTTAAAATAGAATAAATAAAATTTTGGTCCATAAAATAAGTGATGAATTACTTTTTTGTCTTTATGATATTGTGCTAAGCAAATTAAATCTTCAATAAATTGAGTTTTCATTTTAATATGTTTATTTGGAAACATTCACAAAGTAATCATCTTTATTAATTGTTCCATAACTTAAGTTTTATGTTAAATTTATATTTATATGGTCACTTTGTTTGATAGTAACTGATCTTATAAATAATCAAATATAACATAGTTCTATCTAAAAATCATAAATACATATTTTAATTATTTAAAGAGGAAATATACTAATTTATATATCATGAAAATTAAAATTAAATTCATTAATAATTAATAACTCAAAAGTGATAACATCCTCTCTTTTTTTAATTTTTAATTTTCTTTTTTTATAAGTTGAAACTTTCAAATGGTAATCATCAGAATGTTATTGCAATATTCATTTAATAAAAAATCTTCCTAATTGGGATCTATACCTTTCCCCTTTTTCGGCGTCGGTATGATATTTATATTGAAATTCAAATAAATTTAAATGTGTATTACATAATTTACATTTTAAAAGGGCATATTTTAACAAATTTATTTTGATTTTAAAAATTTAAATTCACATTTTATAATTAAAAAAGAAATCTCAATAAATTCAGTATCGATTAGAATATATGCCTACTATTTTAGGACCCCAAATTCTTCATAAATTGACGTACTGGACGGTGCTATGATCCCAAAATTCCTCAATATACTGAGGAATAAATATATTTATTTATGACGTAGGTTTCTTTAATACTATAATTTTAATTTTTATCACATAAATTGAGATAAACTTTTTTTTTGCGAACAGTGAAAATAAAATTATAATAAATTTCTTCGTATTTAATTAGACATTTTGAGTTTGATTTTTTTTAAAAAAGAAAATCTTGTTAGAAGTGTTGCTATCAGAAATGAGTCTATTAATCACAAATCTCTAGTTAACAAAATTTCGATGTAGATATCGAAATACAATTTTTTTAAAAAAAATTAATTATGTTAAGTGATATGTTCTATTGGTTTTGTTGTAACATTGCTAAAACAAGATCTAATTTTACTTTAATAAATGATTAGATGCTTAGTGTATTATCTTTGTTTTGGATTAGAATATTTCACAAAAAGTGATATGCCATTTCACATAAGAATTTTTTGTTACTACTTTTGTAAATTAAAGAATATTCGATTTAAAGCCTTAGCCCTTTTTATAAGCAAGTGGTAATTAAATCATGAAATAAAGTTGTGTCATCTTATAGGTCTAAATACAATGATCTTAATATCATTTTCTACTTTACCAATCTTATCTTTAAAGTCTTACTTTTTAGCCGCGTTTGATACAATTTAAAATGTTTTCTCAAAAATAATTTATTTGTTTTATTATTATTAGATAAAGAAGTAAATATATAGTTATCGATGATTAATCGAAAAATTATTTTTTTATTTAATAATAAAATTAAAATTATATATATTTTATTATTTTCATAACATACTTGTGAAATTACGATAAGATTGTTACTATTGTATATATATATAATATAATGACAGATTTCTTTATCAAATAAAAAAAATTCAATTTTATATTAAAGAAAGAATCTAATATTCAATGATCATATCATAATATTAAAAAAAAATGTTTTTTTGACGAAAGGAGTGATTGACACTAACAAAGTTGAATGCACAAGAAGGAAGTATTCAACATAGACAAATTAATTGTTTTATGCAAAACAAAATTATTATTATTTTTGCCATTTTATTTGACTAGCTCTCAAATTTTATGTATTAATTCATTCATATGGATAAATGTGAAATAATAGTATGGTAAATTAAACTCATAGTTTAGGTATTATAATCTCTACTTAAGAATTAGTCTTATTCAGAGCATAATATTATTATCCATATAAAAATCAGTTTACTATTGAAAGTGTAGTAATTCTTTTTGTCTAAATGTAAACATTATTAAAACATTATTAAAATAATTAATTTCTCTATTGATAATATACATGTATCCTTATTTTACATTAATTTTATCACACATCAGAAAATACTTACTCCACTATTTTATATCACTAAATATATACTCTATTTTACATGGTCCAGAAGGGGAAAAAAAACTATTTTTTAAAATATTTTTTTATCTGTCATTTTTTTTGTCTTTTTAGTTTTTCCCAATAAAAATAGGTGTAAACCCATGTGAGCATACCAAGTTTCTGTTGGAGTTAATTGTCTTATTCAAAACAATTTTTTTGTTTGAAAATTGAAATTAAAAAAAATTGTCTTTACCCTCATTCAAAGTAAAATTAGTGAGCCGTATAATAATCTATTCAAATCACTTAATACAATTTAATAAGATTTATTGTAAAAAAATAGAAGTACTAAACTATAGCTTTGATTTGATTATTTGATATTCTAAATTTACTGTTTCAAATTTTGGATAATATAGATTTAGAGTATAGTGTTTATTTAAGTAGAACACTTTTGATTATAAACTTTTTCATTACGAAGGCTCAAATTTAAAAGAATTTTAAAAGAATTTTATTTATCTCATTATTTTATTGTTCTATTATTAAAAGATTATGATATTTTTATAAACATATCTTACGGAATATTATTGATAATCAGTAAATTTCAATAGAGATTTATCAAATAAATTTTCAGCGAACACATTTTACAAGAATTCCATTAAATTGTCATAAATTGAAATATATATATATATATATATATATATATATATATATATATATATTCTTAGTGTTCAATGTTTGCATTGAAAATTTAACTAGATTCAATTTGCACACTACGTAATCTATTTGAAGATGAGACCCCTAACAAAAATTTTTGATATATTATAGTCTATATATATCAACGGACACATATAATATAAATCAAAGAGAGGTCACAAAAATAGGAAAATAGAAACCATATGTATCGACATGAATTGCGCTACTATAATTTAGGATCTTTCATACTTAATTAAAAATCTCAAATTTAAAATTATTTTTTTAAAAAAAATATGAGCTTTACAATTTAGTCATATCATCGTAATAATATATCGAACGCCAAATAAAAAATTTATTGATACCATATGTTATCTAGAATAGAGGACTTTTGTATCAGAAACAGGTGGAATATTGTGTATAGTAGTTGGCATTTTAGCAAATTGGTGAGTGGGTGAGGTGTACAACTAGTGCAAACGTGTTAGAAAAAACAGCCAAACAAATTAACTACATATATATTTCTTGTAACACAATTCCCAATATTATCTAAAAGAATATAAAAAGAGCCGGAAATTTAAATAAGCCACAAAAATATAGAAGTGATCCAAATAAGTCACTATTTTAGTTACTAACTAAAATAAGTT